TTACATAACAGAAGTCAGAATAGTAATGACTGTAGCAATGTTGTATCTCTGTGACAAGAGTCAAAATTATGTTTAACCCTCGTAATGTAGATCAGGGATTGCTGTACCACACAAAATGGTTTGGTCTGTGCGGTACATACCGGTCCGAGCATGGACCAATACGTTGACCACTTCGTTTCGGGCAGTCTGAATTAAAATAAAAAAAAATCAAAAAGTGGTGGGCCCTAGTCCATTTCAGCATTAAAAAAAAGGCAGATTAGGGCTCTTCTCGCATACGAAGTCACAGAGTTGCTTATTCACCGCTTCGCCACTGTGATGCTGCAGCGACGCTACCTCTTCACCATTGTAACATTGCTACCTCACGTCACTTCACCATTGCGATGCTGCTGTGGCATTGCCTCTTTGTCGCTGCGATGATGCTACTTCCCTTCAACGCTGCCGCTGCTTCCCAGGTATCGCTGCACTTCTTCTCCTCCCTTTTTTTTTTCTTCTTATTCTTCCTTCTTCCTTCTTCCTTCTTCCTCCTCTGTTCCTCCTCTGGACCTTCCTCTTCAACCTCTTTTTCTTCCTCATCGAAAAACCAGTACACACCGGCGTACCATGTTGGTACACCAATACAGAGCGGCACAGATCGACCGGCACACTGGCTCAGTCTAGTAAGTCAAACCTTGGTGTAGATAACACATTTATCCATGTATTAGGGTACAAAAAACTAGCTTTAGAACTTATAATCAATATATAATCTCATTAGTAGAGTCCAGATCATGGCCAAACTTGAAAGCCACTTAAAATAATATGTTAGCATATCTTTTCAATAAGCAATGCATTTCAAATCTAACAAATAATATGATAGTAAACTACAATAATAATAAAAAATTCAATCATTTTAACCAAATGCAATATCAACTCAGATGTGCTTTAAAAAAAGTAATTTATTCAATAATTGTAAATCATATGACTTTATTGGTAGTAAATATATACATTACTAATTTTGAAAAAAAATGACATCAGGTTTGGCTTATTTTATTGTTGATATTTTTTAATTTTATTATTTTGGCTTCCTATTCAATTTGGACGAGGATAGAATGAAGATTGTAATTGGGAGTTCATAATTTTTTTAAGGCGTAAAGAACTTTCTTTATTTCCCTATAAAGAGAACTTTCATACTTCAGAGAAAAGGGTCATAGGCTCATAGCACCTCCTACCAGGGTCAATTCTCTAGAATACCGCTTGAGTTTATCAAACCAAATAACCTACTCTAAATGTCTGGCCTCCTGGGAGAAACTCTAAAAAATTGATGACATTACCTTTCTAGGGGAAGGGAGTAAACCTACTTGCGCTTATATCTTGATATATCTTACTAAGTCTGTACCCTAAGAGGTGATCATCAAGGTTGACTCTTCCTAATCATTCAAACAACTGCCTTTCAATATACCTCACGCTATATTGTGGAATTGTGGGCACAAGATTAAACATTTAGTATGAGATATACTTGTCCTATATCACTATGGGTGTTGCTAGAGTTTCCTATATTGGGCTACAGTTTCCTATGTTGCATTGATGGAAGAAAAAAAATCCATTTATGAGACATGATTCTAAGTCCAAAGCGAGACAACTCAAATTATATGCTGGTTAAAAAAACTAGCTTTATAACAACCAAATCCATTAAAACAAAGGAATCCAAAAAAATTGAAGAATGGCTAGAAGGACAAATACAAAAACAGAAGGGTTATCTCACTCATCTGGTCCCATGTCTAGTTATCAGACTTTTCAGCAACCTATTTTGTTATCTTTATATTTATTTTTTAATGACAGCAAAAGATCTATGTAGCCAACCCCAAATAATTGTGACTTACGACCTTGTTATTGTTGTTGTTGACAGTTAGAGACTCATTTCTATAATTTCGTCAATTCAAAAGACAAGTTACTGAACTACTCCAACCTTCATCCAATTAAGATCTCAATTATATGTTCACGTTACATCAAAGCACATCCACTCGGCAACATCATCACTCTACGATATGAGTATATCTTCTAAAGAGTCTCCACACATCCCCGACAGTCCCTCTATATCGAAGCATGCCTCTATGAGACATTAATCAAGGACGTCCAACGACAATTTCTAAGACCAATTCATATAAGATTCACAAATGACGCCCTACTTAATTATAATCTTCCCCTGATTTCCTCATGAATATAAACATCAAAAAAGAGAAGAAGGAATGTAAAGAACAGGCTGGATTGAGGAGGCGTACCTTGCCGAGCAATTGGGTCATGGAATTCTTGGAGTAGGGGACGACGACTTCAAGAATCGTGTTGGACGCCCCCGGGAGGGACATCAGCCATCCGAGAGCCTGTTACATTACCAACATCCAGTCAGTCTCTCTGTCTCTCCCCTCTTCTTCCGATGATCGGGGATCAAAATCAACAAAGGAAGAAAGAAATATAGAGAGAGGAAGAGGAGAAGGGAGGATGAAGGACCTGGGAAGCGCCGCCGGAGAGGTAGACGACGGCCTTAGTGGGGGTGGAATGGATAGCGTCGACCGCTGCTCGAATGCACCCTTCCGTCATCGCAAGTCGCGACCCCTCCTTTTGGCTTCTTCTGCCGCTGTTTTGCTTCCCTCGACAGACGGACCGCAGGCAGCGGCGATCACACGCTATCCCGCTGTTTTAGCTGCTGTTATTAAGTGTACCTTGAGATAGGATAAGGGTTAATGGGACGCCCAGTGATTTAATGATCCACACCTGATAGGGTTCTTATTTCACCACGTCTCCCTTCTCTCCGTCGTCTTCCCACGCCTCTTCCCCTTTTAAAAACCATCCTTTCTAAATAATAATAATAATAATAATAAACTATTTTAAGTTTTCTGGCCAAGCCCCGTTGCAATCTACTTCAATGAACCATTCATTATAAACCTTCATTAAAGAAGAAGAAAAAAAATCATATTCTCATCCTGGTGTACGCTACCTCCGAGATCTTGTTGGCCGTGCAAGGATGGTTGGTGATGACCCTGGGAGAACGATGATGATGGCCATGGATATACATTATCGTCATCAACAGATTGTTTTTAAGATTAATATTCATAAAAAAGCAATTAGTGGTTGGATTTGTTCATAAAAAATAATAAACTATTTTAAGTTTACTGGTCCGGCCCCATTGCAAGCTAGTTCAATGAACCATTAAAAAAACCTTCATGAAAGACAAAAATAATTAAAATAAATCAAATTCTCATCCTGGTGTACGCTACATCCGAGATCTTATTGGCCATCTTTATAATCCAGAATCCAGTTCAACGAGGTAATTTCATCAGCTGAGTTCATTACATTACAACAAATAACCTTGACTAGTAAAATTAAAATTGCCACATATTACAAGTCAAAGAGAGCAGTAATTACAGAATAGAGCAAATCTCTAATAACGGATGCACTATTAACAACCACAACTGGGATTACAAGAACCATGTGCTTATACAAAGATAACATCTGTGGTCTATAAATCATAGTACGGATTTCATGGCTCTAGAAGAATTCTATCACCTTTGACTCTAAGTATCAAAGGAAAGTGCATCGATTGACTCTGAGGAACACAGGACGAAAGCTCCTAGCCCGACTGTCTCGGAGGCTCCTCGTGGCCCTTATTAACTTTGCCCCTTAACATCTCACTGAAACCGCCCTTCATTATTCTCCGGAACCTTGTATCGTCTTGCAGAGCCGGTGGACTCGGCTGTTGTGGTGGAGCAGCCGGTTCGTGTAAGTCGCCAACCTCTTTCTTCCCTAGAAGGCCACTCTCACCAAAGAAGCTGCTAACCGAAGATGCAAGCCCAAGATGAGCCCCCATAACCTTGCTGATGCTTTCAAATGCTCCACCTGACCTCTCTTTCAGTATAATTTCCAGTGCTTCCTTGTGTGCAGGATCCAGAGCATCCGGGTCTTTCAAAAGGTTTTGGATGGTGGGTACAAGGTAATCACGGATACTGGTAGCAGAAAGATCTGCAGAAAAAGGAAAAAGCTTGGAATGAGTTCTTTTATAAAAGTAAATGTAGGGATTCTAACAGATTCACCAATTAATCATGACCAGTTGACAAAATCTAAATCATTCTTAAGAGTATTGTGCCTTTGCATTGCTAATAAAAAACCATGAAATTTATATAATCAGTAACCATTCATCAAAATTGATATTGACAAATTCCACTTTTTGGAGCAAGAAGTTAGTCATTTAAGATGATGAAACATGAAAAGCAAGCCCACTGCACAAGGTCTCACAAAAGAGGAATCCAAGAATGATTAGTGTACATAGCCTTAGCCTTATTCTGACAAGTAGAAAGATTATTCCATGACTCGGACCCTGTCCACTAGGTGACAAAAGGAGCAATCTTACTTGAACATAATGGCTCCAAAGGAAATATGAAAGGACCAAACTATTAGGCAAACCTGGTGAGTAGGGCCAGATGTGAGTGGGTCGCACCATAATCAGGTCTTGCTTCAGGATGATCTCACCACTCACAGACCTGACAGGTTGGGGCCCATCACAGCAAGTCTCTGAGAGACCCCCAAAAAAATTTTCTGGGTAACTCGGTCAACCTAAACAGAGTTCTCCAATATGATGGTAATAAAACAACCACAGCTAACTCAACCAGCTACAATGACAGCTGTCATCTAGTATGGTTGTAAGTCTTGCAACTTATTCTTCTGTAGATTTGTATTCAACTCAGAAATGAAAAGTCAATGCATATAGTTGGGTTTTTAAGAAATTTCACGGAGAGACAACATGCATAAACATAGTGCCTAAAAGAGAAAATACAATGGAAACCTGAGTGCTTCGTCAAACTTGAAGTTCCCCCAAATTGAAATAGATAAAGCTCAACTCTACCAGCCCTTTTCCAAATACCATGGGGCTAATAGTCCAGAAATGGGAATTGGAAATTTGGAGGATTAAGTCCAGAAATCAAGCCAAAATTAGCTTTTTTGATCATCTACTTAATTGGTCTATTTATGACATCATAGGCTTACCAGACAAACTATAATCATGTGCTGCTTAACCTCTCCATTTTTTTCCTAGAAGATGAAACAATTTGGAAAACTATGTAAATTCCTTTAGAAAGAGAATAAAAGGATTATCCATTCATGGCCATGATGCTTGTACCAGCTTAATCGATTGCTAACGTGATAGTCTGCAGCGTTGGTTCTTGTCTCCATAGAGCCAAATTTTGCACACACAGAAGTTGCTTTCAAGAACTGATCTTTCAATGAAAAATCTACACAGGAATCTCAAATAGAGAAAGGGATTTAACCTAGAGACAATAGGATGAATGATGGCACAATATGCTTGGTATAGCCCTTAGACCTCAGTACTTAGCACTATGGCTCTGGGAACAAATGACAAATGGATTACGTCAGCATATAGAAATAACAAACACAAAGTCTATGGTCGCACAGAATGTTCAATTATTAGTTACATGTCAAAAAGTCATGATAGTCATTTCAAATTTAGGGAATGAAAAAAATAAAAAAAGCATCTGATGCAGAAAATCCTAAGCTGAAATAATAAAGAAATTTGACAGATAATAGCACAAATGCATGAGGCTCCCACCATTGCGGGTTATGGAGAGGGTCGAACCATAATAACTCGTCGCAAATGAACAACCTCTTTATGAAATTAAGGCTTGCATGTGTAAAATTTTAATCAGTTAAATTAATGACTGAGATGGATATATTATACAAACTTGACAGTGTACAATGGAAAGGCGAGGCGAGGTAAGACCCAAGCACCTCATGAAAACCCAGACAAGGCACTTGGACTTGGGCATCGAGTGACACAGGCGCTCATATGAGTCAACCCAGGCATGTCACATCCCTTAGAGTGAGTCCAATCCAAATTAAGCCAAATGGTTTGGTTTGGTATAGTCAATTCATCAGATTCCTTCAAACCCTCCCCCTTCCTCTATATTGAGTGGATTATATCGAGTCCAATCCACAGTGAGTCAAAAGCACCTGTAAGCCCTAATCACCCCGACAACCTCCTCCTCATTTTCCTTGCACTCTGGTCTCTATTTTTTAGCAATGCAAGGCCACCCACCCCATCTGCACTCAATCGGACAATGTTTGACTTTGATTCACTTGGACTCCACTGCTCCTTTCCATCACCACTACGCTCTATTGGTACAGTCGCTTTTGATTGTTGATCTAGAATGGTCAATTACTGGATCATTACTCCTAGTCTTTTGTATTGTCACTACAGCTTTAGAATCTTAAATTATGGCTACTTATCCATAAGAATGATCTCAACTTATTTTTCTATTTATAAGTTCTTGTTACATTCTTCTGTAATTTTGGAGCATAATGATATTAAAATGTGTTATGTACTAGCGATACTCGATAGTTGTTATTTATCATGTTCTGTAGCTAAACCTCTAAGTAATTCGTAAGGCTTGCAGCACATATCATTATATACTTGAAAAGAATTCATTGTCATATCCATGTCGTGTTGTACCATATTTTCCCAAGGTTTGAACATCCTGGAGTATTTGTAATGTGTCATATCAGTATCCATGTTCAGTAGCTCAATATATATATATATATATAATGTTAGGATTCCCTGAATTCTCTGAGTCCTAAACTAATGTAAAAAACATATTCTCTTGAGTTATGCAGTTCTAGTATGAGTCGGCTAGGCCTTCTAGTCGGCTAAGGGTCTAGTTGAGATTTGTTATTTTGATTAGGCGTCCAAGTCTTAGTAGACTAAAGGGATGGAACTCTATAAATAAGGATGTATCTGTTTCTTTTCGCTATCAAGAAAATAATCTTTCAGCCTTTGGCTAACCAGGAGGTTGATCCCCTCGAAATGATCGAGGAGGCCAATCCCCTCGAAGTGATCTTATCTCTCTTTTCCCCCCTTCTTCTATGGTAAAACCCTAGGGGTCTTACCATCTAGTATCAGAGCAACGATCCTCGACGTTCCCATTGCAATTCCTCACATCCCATCTCCGGCCAGAGACGACACCGCTAACCACCTCATGCAGCCCCAGATCGGTGTGCCCGATCAGGATCGACTTCCGGAACACGAATCCAGGGCACTGTCGTGGCTCCCCATCCACGTCGCCCGCCCGATTAAGATCGACTTCCAGATCACCACCACTTTACATCGGCCCCATCCACGTTGCCCTCCTGAGCGCCTCAAACAATGGCAATAGCCTTCGGAGCCCCTCCCGCTCGTGGTCCTCCCCGCGGCCTTGTAGCAACACTTGCACGGCATCCTCGATCCCCCCGACGGAGTCGGACCCGGAGCCCACCCCGGATTCGCACCTAATCTCTTTCGTTGCCTCCTCCAAGAACCCGTCATCGAGCTCGTCCTCGAAGCAACAATTGGCGTCGAGCACCCTTTTCCCGCTCACCAGTGGCCGAGCGAGAAAGGTCCACCGTCGTTAACCACCCCCTCGTAGCCCCCGGCCAGGATCGCCAGCCTCACGCCCACCATCGCTGCCTCCCAGGCCTCGGCAACAGCAATCCCTCGCGCCCTTAACGTTGCCATGGGCCAACGTCACAATAGCCGCACCGAATAGGGCAATGCATCACCCTTGACCAGACACCAAAAACAGGAATTGCGGATTACAGATCTGCAATCCGATGCAATGGCTACCAACAACTCAGTGAAAGCCCAACTAGAAGCCTTGGAAGCCAAGATTGATAATCGACTGCAAGAAACCCTTAATGATTTCAAAAGGAGCCTATTGGAGAGGTTCAGCAAGTTTCAACAAGATGAAAATTCAAGTCCTACGTTGAACTGATTTGGAGACACAGGAAAAAGGCACCAAAAACATGACACAAGCTACCACGCATGGAGGTGGAATTTCCAATATGGGAAGATGGGGATCCGACTAGTTGGATCTCTAGGGCAGAAAAAACTTTCCACTTTTACAAAACTCCGAAAGAATCCAAGGTGGAAATAGCTTCAATCCAATTAGATAGAGATGCAATTCAATGGTATGATTGGTACGAAACCTGTCATGAGGTCACCTCGTGGGAGCAATTCAAGAGAGGACTTCTTGTTCGCTTTGGACCATCCGAATATGAGAATGTTGATGGGTAGCTCGTCAAAATTCGTTAGACTTCTACAATGCTAGAATATCAAAGTCAATTAAACACCGTCAAATCAAGATAGAGTCTAGTCTGAACGACAATTGATGGGTACATTTATTGAAAGACTTATTCCAGATATCCAATGTGAAGTTAATGCTAGTCATAGGTGCTCTGCAAGCCAATCACGTTAGTGATGACACGTGTGACATGACATGCAATCTTTTTGCTTATTATTATTATGACATTCTCTCAATTTTTATTGCTTGTTGTATATATATATATATATAGTGATGTTCATAGATCTGTGTAATAGGAATCGGATCGTGACAAGATCACGATAATGAGACTGATTCACCTTTAAACACAGACCCTAAATAATCCTGGTCATAGGTTACTCGAGAGGGACATCGAGATAACCAGACATACTGGTGTACTGTATACCCGTGCATATGATAAAGACGACTGGTCTCATAGCTGCTCGTGTGGGGACACTAGGGATACAGTGCAGGTGCTCACTGGAGAATGAGTTCATTGATTAATCCTCTTACGGAATGCTGGATGGTTAATAATACTTTATTGTCATACAATGATTCCGTTGTCTCAATAGTGTACCTGGTCTTTAGACTTGAAACACCAAGAATGTCCTGTATGAGTATTCCACTCTTTGATACTGGACTTATAGGTTTGAAAGTTCCAGATCTAGTACAACCGATCATTGGGAGTGGTAGCCAACCTTACAAGGGCTATTAAGTGTCGATAGAGGATCATCCGTTCTCGATATCATAAGAAGAATATCCTGTGTGTTCTTGCTCAGACAAATTGGCCAAGGTCATCCAGGAGAATCTGATTAGAGCAAAACTCGATGAGAAACTACATGGGTCTGACAGCACCATGCCCTGTATACGATCTTTGAG